TCTCCCTTCTGCAAAACAATCCATAATTCTTTCCATAACTCATCTGACCTTTTCATTTCTTTTCTACTTTATTCTTTATTTTCCATTATGTACATTTTCTGCTTACATCCTATGCCATAAATTATTTATGTTGTTGTTATTCAGGTAATCAATATCCCTTTGATTACCTTTTTATTATTAATTACTATTTTGTGACAGCTGATTGCATTGCAAATGCCAGGTCTGGTTTATACTTGCCAATAAGGTTCTGACTAAATGTGCAGTAAGCAAGTATGTACTTTATATGTGTAAGATACTGATTCCCTAGCAATCTCTTATAAAATTTATTTTCCTTACAGAGACACAGCTATTGTTAACTTATAACAGTGCAGGCTAATATATTTGGAACTTGTTTATGATCTCATGTTTTAAGTAAAATTAATAAATTTTTTGCCTACCCCCTACACACACTTGACCACATCAGCATGGGCACAATTTCTGAGCTGTGAATATGACTGATCACTTTAAAGCTCTGAGGACTACCCTTAAATAAAAGCATTCCACTCTATTTCAATACAAAATAATTCCTAAAAACAGGCTGTGCAACTGTTCAATTACATGCCTAATCAATGTACCTTTGAACAAGAAAACAGGTTCAAGCGAGGAATTTTTTGAGTTCGGCAGAATTCCGCCTCTCAGTCCACCACCGTCCTGGCATCGTTACCCTGTACTCACTCTATTCCGAAGTAACAAATGCACAAACAAGAAAGGAATTTCGTTAGAACAAACTCGCTTAATACAAACAAAACCTCGGTCCCAGCAACAGATGATGGTAAAATGGAAATTTGTAATACCTGGATAACAATAATTTTTTATAACATGAACTCTGACAATTTCTGTTTCATGGAATTTGTGTTAATGAGGGTTTACTGTATTTGTTACCTTTTTCATCATTTTTTTTTTTTGCATTAGTTAAAATGAAATAAAACGATGCTCTAATTTTGTATAAAATAAAATACTAAAAATTATTTAATTCATAAAGTAGCAGTATCATTAGATCCAAAACATTTCTCTCCAAAGTAATAAGCATCAGTAAATTGAAATTACTAATTAAACAACTAAAAGTATACATAAATTCTAAGGAATAAAAACTGAATATTTTAAGAAAAATTTGTGTGAGCATCTAATTTATTGTCCTTTTAAATTAATTTTTACTCTGAAGTTTTAGGACAATACTTACTAAAATTAAAACATCTATTAAACATAAATAATATACAAATCCAGAAATAAAAATTTGATCTCCAGACCTCTCAGATTTGATGAAGTTTACACTGGTTAAAAAGTGAGTTTTGTCATCTAAAACTAGGGAAACAATAGAAAGTCTTGAAAAATGTACACACTTTCAAAGTACTAATTGCCAAAGAAAATAGCTTTTATATCTACATTAATTCAAACATTTTGTAACATCAATCCCACACAATAAAAGAAGTAACTAATTTTTATTAAAAACGCATAAAATAATTAAAATTTTATTTCAAGAGGAGTTAGTTTCAAACACAGCAATCATGGTTCTTTTCTGTTTCCCCTCCTGAAATTCAGCAATTGGTACTAACCTTGGCATTGGAATCTACATACACATAACATTGCAGATTTCTTATGAATATCAGTTTAAAAAAATTTTCAGAATAAAAAATGAAGTCGATATCAAAGCGAGCAATCTTCAAAAATTGGTTGTTTCAAAACAGAGTTTCCTAATATGTCAACAATAGAAATAAATCTCCGCAATTACCTCTCAGCATGAAGTTGCACTGTTATTGTATTTGTATGCAACACAATAATTTGCTAATATAAACATTTTTAATCCAATGACATTTCAGAAAGTGATAGTTCTGTGAAAGACTAAAATAGGAAGAATCTAAGTGATCTCAAAGATAAAAAATTAAAAGGTTTACTTTTTACAACAAGTCAGTGAATTTCATTTTCAGTTTGATAAATCCCAAAAATTACCCGCGAGTTACTCCAAACTCTGCCATCTACAAATTTCAAATACCAATTACATGATCCTAATAGGATTTCCTGAATAACTTTAAAAGGAATGCACTATCCATGCCCATTTCGCTACTCCCATACCCTCTCTTCAAGCTCATGAGCCTGTTTGTTTGTTGGGTCTTTCCAAACGGTGTGGTTTCCTGAAATAGTTTCCAGAAGTGTTGACATTTTCACAATTTTCCTACTAGGGTTTTTGAAGAGTTATTATATCTACACAATGACACGTAAAAATTAAATTAATAATTCAATGTCTATATATATATCTATATATAAAAAAAAAAAAAAATAAAAAAAAAAACGAGACAAGCGAGATGTCGCTGAAAAAGCGAGGCAAATGAAGATTGTACAAAAACTCTAAAAACAAATTATGAGAAGCTGAGATGCCTGGATCTCTCTAGAGACTTGAATAAAATAGACAGGCCAACATATCTAAAAGAAGTCAATGTTAAATTATTTGCGTAATGTAGTTTCATTCCACTACAGCACATCTAGCAAATACAGGAACACTGAAGGAATACTTTGGAGGTTTTTTGTATGATGTCAATAACTGCTTTTGTAATTTAGATGAAGATTCTCCAACATGCTCAAGCCAGTGCAAAAGTATTTCTGTATCTGAAGGACATGATTCCACAAAAGCAGGTTCTGAATATGCAGTGTGTAGATAACGCCACAAACTTGAAAATGAAGACGGAATTTCATAACCTGAAAATATGAAGTGATTTATGCTTAAAAAACTAAGCAACACTAGAAAGTTGCAATAGCATAATTTATATTCTTTCCAATTAGTTGTATGTATAAATTAACAATTGGATTAGTCACATAAAAGTTGTGTAAGTAAAGAAAGAAATATTTTACATCCTGATTTCCATACAATACATTGCTTTGCAGATTCTGAATTCCACCAAATTAGAAGTGCAGAATTAGAACATGCAACATCTTACCCACCAATATACCCAGATATTCAAAATTAGAAGTTCTCTTTAGAAACAGAATATTTCGTACCATCCCAAAATACTTAATTTTTAGTTAAAATTTGCTACATCGAGGGCAATGTGTGGAAGGTACTCCTCACATAAAAGGAAGTGAAGATAACCTAGATTCTTTTGATATATTTTTAAATCAAAATCCTTTTAATTCATGACAGGTTGACTTTTTTGCTTACGACTTTCCCAGTCAGCTAATCATCCTCAGCTTTCGGCCTGAATTTGCACTAAAAGTAGACAGAGTTCAAGAGATGGATGATTCACACTGAAACTTACAGAAGACCAATGATTTGGACAAGTACATGATGACAGACCCCCAATGTTACTGAACAAATATCAGAATCTTCCATCAATTACAGTTAGTCCTTAATGGAGAAGGTAGTTTGTGTTTCATTAGAAGCCACGATAGTACATTAGCAGTAGTACTCAAAATCTAGTATGGAAACTTGTTAGGTTTAATTGTTTGATTGATTAGTGTGTCCAGGCACATCATCTACTAAGGTCATTAGTCCCATAAGTGTCACACATATTTCATTGCGAGAAGTGGTGCTGATCTTCCCATGCTGGATGACGAGATATGGGGCCAACCTACTCGACAGCTGGCAAGGTTTTTCCAAAGTAGGTATCTCCCATCCCTCACAGCGGGGCACTGTCCCAGTTCAAACAAGCTCTAAGCTACTGACTGGTCTCCTGATGTGTGTGATAATGTAGTGCATATAAATGTGCCAGTAATGTTGATTTTCGTGGTTGTAGAAATTAAATTTCAATGTGTACCAAAAAAAAATTCAGTGTTATTAATTTAAATACAACAACACATATTCTAAATCATGGAATTTTGGGATGCGAATGTGAGTTATCTACCTTTAATTCCTGATGATGCTACCCGCACTTGATGCAACTTGGGCAATACTTCACAATCTAATAACGATGGAGAATTTCCACACAAGAACTTGTAATCTGTGGACTTTAAAAAGTCATCAAGATGATGTAGTTCAGTTTCCAAATGACTGGAATTCTTTGATACATCTCGAATGAAAAAACAAAATCTTGAAAAGAAGTCCCTGGAAACAATGTGTAGTTAGAAATCCACATATTTTTAATTGCTACATTCATATTAACCAAATAGCAATGCAATCCATACTATGTTGAATAACTAAAACTAATATTATGGAAAACAAAATGAATTTTTCTTCTTTAAATATTTTGTAGAGAAACAACAATTAAGGGCCTTTAAATTAAGGAAAAACAAATCAAATTACCAGGAAATGGTGCAATCAAACAGGAAAAAAAAAGTTTAATTACATTCCTTTGGGAGATATAATTCGATCTTTGTGACACTAAAAGGGGTAATTTTCAAACATCAAAAAATACTCTTATACTGCTTACCTTGTTGCAACTGTCGCTTCTGTGACTTCATTTTGAATTAATACACCACCAGGATAATACTCTTCTAAAGATGAAACAATATCATCAGCAACATCAATGGGTTCTATATCAACACCAAGACATAAAGCAGGAACTCTCAACCGTAAGCCTAGTTCACAGAAAACTTGAGGTGGGCGTGAAACATTAACAGGAATACTTTCCAATGATGGTAGAACTCCAGCAGCAAATTTCAATTTGGCAAGCATAAGAACTCGCTGGCTTTGGTGACATGCTCCTAGGGCTTTCCCATCCCATCCAGCTTTCACAAATAAAGTAACTCCACTTTTACGTTCCGTCATAACTCCACAAATTACGATTCGTCTCTATCAACCGCTCAAAGAACTGGACAGTTTTAACTATGATCCACGGAACGAAATATACCACGCCCCCGCTTCGTCTGCAATTTCAGAAACCAAGCTATTTGTGTGCGAAAACGTCCTTAGCTAAAAATAGTCATTCTTGAGATTTAAAACTAGTGTATCCAACAAATGTCATCCACACACTTTTCCTTGAATTTTCTTTCATGGACCTGTAAACATCGCTGATGAAGAAAGTCGTACTTACCTATTATGTGTCTCTTGTCCACTCATTTCCTTTTCAGGTTAATCAGTCCAGAACACTACCACTAGCTGCAAGTTTGAGTTGTTTAGGTCTATTGTGTACGCGTAGATGGACCGGATGTGTACGACAGGCACCGTAGCCCAGAGCATTCATGCGCAAGATTCAGGTACCAACGTGCAGGAAGACACGTAGAGTCGGGTTTCGAAAAGATATAACTTTTTGTCTATGCAATGATTCTTTATTCAGTCCTTCACTAAATAAATCGAAACAAATCTTTAAAATATTAGTTATATATATGATTTGCTTCTATATATTGCTTTCTTAAAACGATTATACATTTTCACGTTTTACCCTTGCTGTTGGCAACAATTGTATTCTCTTTTGCACGGTAGCAGTGATGTCCTATGATCACACTCTTTGCCAATTGACAGCCCTAGCGAAGTGTCAAAATTATGTATGCTCGCTGACGCTCGTTCGAGTTAACAAAGTAAAAATAAATTTATTTTTGAAGGAAATAACATGAACACATCTGCTGTATAGTTTGAAAAATGAAAAAGTTGCCTAATTTGATAGCACTCTTGCAGTAATTCAAAATATTTTAAAGATAACTTGAAAATTATAAATGTAACACATTTCTTTTTTCTACGTAATACATTAATTGTATGAATAATGCGAAATCCTGGAGTGTAATTGCACCCTCTGCTGCTATATATTTCCAATTCTCTCAGCTTCGCCAAGGAATAAAGAAAGCGATAGCAGTAGTATAGTATCCGCTGAATCGCAATCTGCGGAGGTGTTACAAACTGAGAATTTCTCAGTGAAGAACTGAGTGAAAGGTCGATTATGCCTTCTGAACGTTAATACGTATATATTATGCCATATATGTACCGACGATTTTGTTCGTTGGTATATGGATATATTTCTAAGAAAATATGTGCCAATTTACGGTGCTAAGAATACGTATGTATTTGACGTAAAGGTCGGTGGTTAGCATAATTTGTGTTGACACCGCTGAGATCCGTATGGAACACCTGTCAAAACTCGTCAGAAACGTCTAGTCTTTGGTTTCGTTCCAATATGAAATGTAAAGCAACATTTGATTGTGCACGCCAATGAATCAGTTTTGTTGGAATTATTAAAACTACCGTAATGTAGGGCATCGTCTTCCGACATTTCCACTTGAACTATCTGCTGTTCTGATCGTCTTTAGATCACAGTTTGCAGATTGGATCGTTATGATTGTTATGGAGAAAATAAAATAAAATACAATGACCCCTTTTGATGACTTTATGTACCTCATCAACTCTGTACTTTTGGGAGAGGAACCAGTAAGTACTTGCAAAGCTTGTGAATTCCTGTTATTAGTAAATAACTGTTTCATTTCTTATGTTATTATTTTTCAGACAATTGAAGACTTCATTTTGCTTGTTGGAACATTTGTAGCATTTGTGGCGTTCATCCTATGGTGTTGTTTTCCTGTCGTCCCGAAGGAAGCGAATCCACCTACATTGTATGATACCAGAGGGTATAACCAGTATAAAAAAGTTGACACAACTTATGATACTAATTCCTAGCAACAGCAGTGCCATTTATTGATAATGATGTGTACTTTTCATCATGTAATAGCTCACATAACTTGTAGAATGCATTTTCTTCATAATATATTTGTACATGAATTACATCTCAAATGTAATTTAACAGTCTAGCTGGATGGTTGATTTCTTTATCATTGTATCAAGTCTGTATTTTGTGTCTTAAAATTTTGAAATCATCACTATCAACACTGACTATTGCATTTGAAATTATTGTGTATACCTGAATAAATTATGTACTATTGTATATTTATTTATTTATTTATTTGTATATTTAATGTGATAAGCACAAAATAAAATGCCTAAAGTTTTGATGTATTGTTGCTTTTTAAAAAGTTATATATTATCTCCCTTGTTTCATTCTTATGCATACAAAGTTCAAACAAAAATCACTATAAATCCTGGAAGTTGTCATGCTTTATAAGAAGTCCAAACTAATGTATTTGAAGATCATCATGAAATGTCAACTCACCATTCTGTGTTTTTAAAATAATATTTTCTGTTTGTAATTTCTCTTCTTTTGCTATTGATTGTTCTTTAAATGTAGAGGAAATTGAGTTATGATGTTCCTTTAGAATAAATCACTATTGCTTCCAATTGATTGGGATGCTTCAGATGAAGTCTTTGAATCCAGGAATGATGACTTGGATGATTCTGTTGTGTCCAAGCTCTCCACAAATCCTGTGTTTTTCAGTCCATAGTCTTTACGACATCTTACATTATAATGTTGGTGAAGAATAATCTAAAAAAATCAGATTTAATTAATTCTCAATGTATGATGAAGGGGGTTTTAATTGCTAATTTCAGAAAAGTAAATGTGCATAAGTTATAAAGAAAATTCTATATCAAATACGACATTGTAACAGAGTGGCCACTTCATGGAAAGCCAAGTAATAAAGTAAAAGAAAATTTTGATGCAATTATAAAATTAGATATTATACCTTAGAACATTAGTTAAATTTTTATTTGGTGAGAAAATATTGTAAACTTGACCTATAAGCATTAGGGTAGCTAATATTTTCATTAAGTAGTGAGAAATCTTATCAGGAAAAAAAAGTCAGGGAAATTTGTTCCAGAAAATGAGTGGTCCCTCTGTGTAAGTACCTTGCATAGAAGATCAGAAGTGTAAGAACTGAAGCACTGTGAAAGAGGCACATTTATTGGAAATATAGTTGATATTTGCTGTCGTTCAAGTTCTTTAACAGCATTCATATAGAATGGATCACTTGCACATGCCACTGTTTCTAGTTCTTTCATTGTTTCACTTTCTTCTACTGCATTGGATCCTTCTACTAAATCATATAGATTTTTCTCATCCTTCAGTTCCTGTGGGAAAGATAATTTTATGTTACATGCAAAGAAAATTTTCAGCTGCAACTGGAAACTGTTTTTCAAGTTCTTAATTGCATTCTTGCACTTGTTATTAATATGACACTAAATCTCTAAACAATTAAGTCTTATCAATGACAACTTTACTTAGGTAGCATAACATGCATCATTTTCTTTCTGTATCATTTGACATGTTCAGAACACCAATTTTCGCAACTAAGATGTTGAGGTAACTTTGTTTCGATTGCCAAGATGCTGAGACAACTCAGAAAATAAAGATTATACCCTCCCACTAGTATTTCCTTGAAGATTTAAGGATTTCTCATGGCCATTGAAATAAAATATTCTATTTGATTTAGGTATGTGGAATAATAAAATTTATTTGAAGGTGCTGTGGTGAGGAGGGGGCAACGTGTAAGTGTCCAGCCTACTTGTGTTTTTTTTTGTAAAGAACTTTTTTTATGCTGATTTTAATATGTATTTTTATTTGTTGACCTACAGGTATTATTTAGAATGCTAACAATGAATGACTTTTGTTTATATAGAAAATCTGTAAAAGCTATATTTTATATGTGCATCTGGGGAGGGAGGTTCTAAAGCCTTATGAGACAATCCCCAACCCGCTAGGGGTGTCTCTGAATTTATTCTTTACTCAAAGACAAAGCATTTGCAATCAGGTTTTTGGTAAACATTCAAAACCAAAAATTGTAAACTAGGATGTCATAAACAAAAGGTTTTCCTGCTTTGCAAATGCAGTTTTTGCCTCTCCTATACGTTGGATACAGTTTTAGATGTTAAATAAATAAAGAGGAAGTAGGTAATTATGAAAAATGTTTTTATGATTCCAAGCACCTTATTTTTGATGTCTTGAACTAATTTGTGCTGCTGCTTTTGAATCTGATAAGTCAAATGCAGTAATTTGTCATTTAATATCATCATCATGCTATTATCAGAATCTGTAGGAGCAATAAATGCACTAGCAAGATCTAGTGTAATTTCATTCCATACTTCTTTTATTTTCATTTCTAAATACTTGTCAGCCAGTTCCATAGTGATCTGGAACAATAAATTAATAGAGAAAAATGTAGTTAATGTTTAGGAATATGTTTTTATGCTCAACATTTGAAGTAGTACCTCTTCTTTTTTTTTAAGAACATTGTGGGCATGATAAAATTCCTCAATTTCTTGAGTTATTTCTTGATATCGGTTTTTTATTAGCTTGACCATTGCATATATTTTTGGGCGAGCACTTGCATACATATCAAGAATTGCCGGGCTTGTGTTATAGTCTACTTTGCCTGAATATGTTTGGAACCATTGTTCTCTTCCCATCAAAGGTAATGTAACTTCTAGAAAAGTAATGGCAATATTTTAAAATATTATTCAGTCAGTTGCCTGGATTTTTATAGGTGTAAATAAAAATTACTTAAAACTGTAAGTGATCCTCTTTCAAATATAAAAAGTATCCACAGTGTAATTAAAAGTTTATTTGAAAAATAATGAAAATAGGCACACCATTCTGTCTCTTATTGGTTTCATAAAGTAATAATTTATTTATTTATGGAAATGGGGGATGAATAAAAGATTTTTAATCCTCAAATCAATGAGGTTTTTGTGGAAGCTAAGAAATACATTTCATATCTTTTCATTTCATTTCAAGCAAAGAAATACATTTCAAAACAAGAAATATATACAGATATTCTAACAGACGGTAAAATCTATTCAAAGTGGAATGTAATTAATGAAGATTTTACCAAATAATTTATTGAGAATTTGTAGTGAATCCAAGTCATTTCAGTATAGTTGCTTTTTGGTGAAGAAAATTCAGAACAAATATATAAAAATACTCATATTAATTAAGGCTAGTTCACATATGTATGTACAAATAAAAGTGTACCAGAAATGCATCCAAAAGTATCACGGTGTGGGGAGATGAATAATTCTTCTTCGCGCCAAATTCGCATGAGGAGAGATAAAAATGTACATTTGTTATTTCCTCGCCAGGTTATTACAAGGGGGATACAGTTTCCAAACTCAATTAGATCTACCAAAAGGCCAAGTAGAATGAGTTGAACTGGAAATATACTAATCTGTAAAGTAAGCATTGACAATTAATGCTAGAGAGCTCATTTTAATTAACTCATTTTTTAGTGTTGGTTTGCATATTTCAACAGTCAGGTACATATTAAAGTTGTAACTGTTCACCTGTAGTAAGTCCAATAATTTATATACATAGTCTTCCTTGACAATTCTTTCGCAATTAATTGGACATAAAACAACTGCTTCCCATAAAAAGTCTATTGCACTTATAATCAATCTAAAAAAAGATTGTCACTTCAATTACATCATGTATTTATTAGGATTAAAATTGTTGATAAAATAAAGATAATATTCTTTTTTCGAGCATTCATAACATTTTCCAAAACATTCTGTTCTGTGATCTGCATTTCCATTCTGTGATCTAATATTCCTACAATATTTAGAACTTTTTGCTTAGTAAAGGTTAATTTTTAATTGCTAAAAAAGATATTTTCATGACTCTCCTTAATTATGTTTAACTTACTTATCATCTACAGGAAAAAGTTCTTCTGATGAATTAGTTGACAAAACTAGTTTTAAAAATAGGTGAAGGATTTTAATAATGATTCCTCCATGCCGTTCTTTTTCTTGAATATTATTCATACATAATACTTTAAGTACAATGAAAGCCTTTGTCAGGACACGTTGTTGTGCAAATTGAAAGTCGGGCGTGCTCAACAAACTATGACAAAATCCTGCAATACAAAATGGAAGTGAGAACATTTTTAATTTTAATTGAGTTTAATTAAAATTTTGTCAGATAGTTTTGATTTGTAATTGTGTCAACTTACGTAAAATAATACATATTGCTCCAGTATCATTAATTTCTTGCAGAAAATACTTGTCTTTAAAGCAAGAAATATAATATAAAGCAGTGAAACAGGCAAGTAATTTCTCTGTATCAATCTGAGCAGTAGTAAAACTTTCAACTACGAGTAGAAAGTAAGAAAGACCTCCACATTTCACTAAATCAAGAGGTGCTGTCACTGAAATGGCAATAAGTGCATGTAAAGCCAAGTCAGCCAAAGCTGTAGATAAAGTATGGTGCCATTGAGATAATTCTATGGCATTTGGTTCTGCCATTCGCAGCAGTCCAATTATAACTCTTCTCTTTCTCAAAATCTAAAGTAAACAAGAAAAAAAATGCAATAACAGTACTGCTTAAGATAAAATATTTTGATATCTAATGGATTAAATAAATGTGTAGTAGTTAACAGTTAGCAAAGAACATCTCAGAATTTAAGAAAACATGCACAGAGTACACTTTTCCCCATAGTAAGTCACACACAGGTTTTAACTGTTTTAATGTTAAATAAATTAATAAAACATAATAAATTTTTTGTCACATTAGAGAAAAAATAAATAAAATTTGTGACTATATGTTGCAGAATTTATATTGTCATTTAAGTTAATAACAGTGTAGTTCAGAGAAAAAGGAAGATATAAATAATTTATCATCCTGGTTATCCTCATTATTTATTATCTATTTGTTCTTTGGTATGCCAATTACGCAGTGGTGTAAGTTCCATAGGGACTGACAGGTCCCCGACGGTTCGGCCCGTTCAAATTCCGTTCAAATTCAAAACGAAGTAATATGTCATTATCAAGAACTGTGTCTCATAAAATCATAGAACAAATAAATGAAGTGCCGATTTTACTTTCCCGTATACATACGTCAGGGGAGGATCTAGAGACAAATTTTGGAGGGAGAAATTCAAAATGTTTTGGTCAAATGAGTCATATGACAGATTTTGTTCTTTTTAATGATTTTTACAAAAAAGTTTCGTGACAAGTTAAAATTAATAGTAACTGAAAAAAATTAGGGAGGGGAGGTCCCGCATTTCCCTCCACGTGGCTCTGCGCCTGCGTACGTACATACGAAGTAATATACGTAGTATAGGGAAAGTTATGTAATGCTGCGCGACAAAACCTCGGATGTTCGGCAGAAAAGAAATCATTGCCTGGCCCTGATAACAAAAAAACAACACACAAAAAAAGGATAAATCCAGTTGCTAAATTAAGAGAAAAAAATTCTCTAACCTGTAATGTAATGCTATAAGTATGTGGTATACCTAGAATCCCCGTTTTGTGGGTCCTTGACATCGGAAAATCTATTGACGCAAAACGTCTGTCCGTCTGTGAACACCACTACCAACTAAACCATACGTAGGATTTTTTCCAAATTGAAGAAACATCTGGACATCTGGCTCGAAGATTTGACATATTGAAAAACATTCTTTAAAATTTGGGGCTACTTTACATGATTTCCGATTTATGGGGCTACAATTTGGGGCTACTTTACGATTTTGGGGAACATCGAACGCTTTCGCAAAATCTATAACTATTGCGTCTACTCTCCCGCCCGCGTCAATTTCATCTGCTAGATTCTGAAATAGCGTGACTACCTGACTTTTGCATGAGTAATTACTACTGAACCCGTGTTGGCCATCACAGAGCCATTTTTGATTTCCCATTCTTGCTTAATGTACCTTGCAACTAGATGCTTCATAAGTTTACAGACTACTGACATATGACTTAGCGACATATGATTACATAAGACGGTTCTGTCACCACTTTCAAAAATTGGTGCGACAAAAGCTAATTTCCAATATTTAGGTACATGTGTTATAGAGTAATGCTATAAGTAATAATAATAATAATAATAATAATAATAATAATAATAATAATAATAATAATAATAATGTCTTTATTAATGGCGAGGCTCAGGCCATAGGGCCTGCTCTTCCGCCTAACCACTAAAGTATAATGTGTAAGTATGAGTGAACGTAAGGTGTGAGGATAGTACACGGCAGGAAGAAAATATCGTGCGCAGTCTGTGGCTCGTTTGTTAGGGTACTGCTTCGCCTGGTGCTGATCAAAGAAATCACGGGAAACTACCGATCTGAGCAGCCGGTCGCTGGAATTCTCTTCCAGACAGCGTCTGAATTCAACGTAGTTATATAACTACTGTCGAAATTCACGCCACTGTCGGTACTCAAACCCTTGGACCTCCCGGTCAGAGGACCTGGAGTGACATCAATTGATACTCTTAGCCTCCTTGGCCGATTATGCTCCGCGAGGCCTATCAGCTTGCTTTTTAGATGTCAAAGCGTCACCAGAGGAACTATGTTTGTAAAGTGTCACATGTGTTCTCTTGCAGGAGCCACGTTGCAACAATTGTGAATAAACGTTCTTTCATCATAACGCTTATGTGTTGTGTGTGTGTGTGTGTGTGTGTGTGTGTGTGTGTGTGTGTGTGTGTGTGTGTGTGTGTGTGTGTTTGAATATTGTACCGGATTTCGTAACCTACCTTCCTTTGTAACCGTGCTTCTGTAACTATTTTAGAGTTTCAGCTGTATGCACGCAATTATTTTTTCATACAGTCTACTCTTTCATTATTCATCGCATTACGCTGAACAAATAAAATAGACTTATAGAAACAGACTTATCTGTGCCCGGGCAGGAACAAATTAACACATTTCCAGCAGGAGAGATCAACTGAGAGGTGTCGAAAATCACTCTTTAGCGGGGGCGATCCTTGTTATCCCTCTGTTAAATCTCACACTAATACACTAAGTTGTATAAATACCTCAATTGCATCATTTTGTTGTGCCAGATAGCAAATTGAGAGAAGGAGAAGTCGTTTCAGTTCAAAAGCTTCACGTGTCCTATCCACAAGAAATGTTTTGGTCCATTCCTCATTCATATTTAGTTCACTGGCCACAGTGAGAATTGCTATATCTGGAATAAATTGATGTTTTCAGCTTCATTGAATAAATAATTATGTTTAAGATATTAAGAATGATATACATTTTATTTGACGTGATTATGATTTATTTCTGGATCATGAACAAAAGAAAAGTGGCACTATATGATTTTTGTATGAAAATGGGCTAAAAAAATCTTGATTTTTTTCCCCGAGCATTTTTATTTTTCTTAAAATTATATTGTTACATCTGCTTAATTTTAATTGTTTGAAATATAAATTATAATTTTTTGGTTTGACAAATTTTGATAAATGTTTTTTTGTTAAAGTAAATTAGACTGTTCTTTGGATATTCTTTAACATAACTTTACTCCTATTACATCATCGTAAAAGGGAATATAGTATAAAGAAGCTGAAAATTAGCAATTTAATATAAAGAGTACAGTACTCACCATCAGCCAAGCCTGCTTCAACAACTGGTAAATCAGGGAAAAGATGCAATGCAAGTAATACTAAACTCATGAGAGAAATGGCTCCTGGCACATAACCATCTTGTACAACAGAATGAAGGCATTTACTTAGACATCTGAAATACATAAAATAATTATAATCTTAAATCGTGAATGAATATTTTTTAGGTCAAGTAAATATTATTATAATTTTAAAAATGAGCCATCATTAACAATTTTATGCGTTTAAAACGCATTTAGTATAATCAATTAATAATTATGAACAGTATGTCTGATACTTGGATGAATGCTTATACGATTGGGATGATAATGCCTTTTGAGTATTTTCCATTTAAAATCTTTTTAAAATGAAAAACACAGATTTTGACTTTGATTTTAAACAACCTTAGTTTTGAACCGTCATTTGTACGCGAACTGTGTTCGCGTGCGTGTTTGGGAGGCTCGTGGGGCACGACGCGTGAAAGACCAAGAAAATACTATTCGCTGTTCGCGTGGCGAAATCCTGTGCACTCGACTACCGATAACAACCAGGAAAAAATCGGAAATGCATCGCAGTGGATGAAAACATTATTACATCTACTGGATTGACGTTAGACATAATATGTCAAAATATCTCAACCTCCAATAACAATGGAAATCAGGCTGATATTAGAAATAATGCGGCGTGGTGTTCAACACAGGGCAGTTGATCTCCAGTTGTCATAAATACGATATTTACATTAATGGAATCTTCAGGGAAACCAGTAGCAGATGAAAAATTAGAATCGATGTGTTTTTTTTATAATCTACAAATTAGAATGTTTCTTCTATTATCAATCGGTTAATGTTGACATATTACGGCTGGTCTCTGTATCCCGTAGCAGTAACAATAAGCGGAGTCCTCTGTGGTTGGTTAATAATCCAGGCTGAGCACCGGGAATCGCTGTCGTCTGTTCACTTTTTCTTGGGCAACCCACTTGACGTTCGTGCGTTACATGCTTTCCAGTTGAAGCAATTACTGTAATTGTCATGTCACATCAATACTAGCCGGGACACCGAAGAGAAAAAAAGAAGAAAATGAAAGAGGATTAATAGGCGGAGAATGAGAAAGAAAAGAAGAAGAAGAAGAAGAAGAAGAAGAAGAAGAAGAAGAAGAAGAAGAAGAAGAAGAAAAAGCGAAAATAAAGAAGAATTCACTTAACGAATCGTGTATTTTGCAGCGGTCTCAATGCCTAGTTTATACAGGTGGAATGAAAGTTCCGCATCAGTCAAATATCTTAGGGAAAATATTTGCGAACAAAAACAAACAAACTCATATAATAATCTTCAAAAATCTATTCAATGATACCAAACATGACCCCTCCCCCCAATTCCACTTAGAAATGTTAAATAAGTCCCATTTTTTGCAGTTTCGGATTCTCCATAAAAAAAGTAAGTAAATTGTAGACTGATAATGATAGAGGTCGCTAGATTTTCCGTCCGTCCCATGACCCCCTGCCCCTCCCCCAGGGGGTACGGAGGTCATGTTTGGTATCATTGAATAGAGTTTAAAAATTATTAAACAAATATTTTTTATTTTTTCGCTCGAAAATATTTTTTCTAGGATATTTGACCGTTGCAGGACTTTTAGTCCACCCCGTATTTATTATAGTATAAATACATTAACATCGTACTATGTAACTTTCAATGCATTTGGTTTTCAAGTATTTGTATTCACGTTTAATTGCCTCCCCGGGAGTGTCTATGAATAATAATACAATTGTCTTTATTTGCGGCGAGGCTCAGGCAAAAAGGCCTGCTCTTCTGTCAGCGTACTTTAATAAATTTTAATTTACAAAAATTACCGTTGCGGAGATAGGATGTAAATAATATTAACTGACATTTGCATTACAGAGAAAAATGCAATCTAATGAGACGAGAAATTAGCTGTGTAAGCCATAATTTACAAGTGAATTTTATTGTCGTTTGTTCTCTATTCTTGAAATTTCTTACTCTAGGGAGAGTGCTATGATGCAAGAAACATGCATTAAGATGAGATGAGGGAGAGATATTATTTATCATCCATACTAAAATATATCCACCATACTAAAATTAAAAGTCATAATTTCTACCAAATGTCATTTGTCAACATTTATAACCGAAGTGTCTCAATAGTGAACAATTAACCAAAAAGCAGGAGAAGGATTTATATAGTTCGCCTAATATTTTGACTCTGAAGCTATGGGAATATTTTATGGCAATTCTGTTAAATAAACTAAGGAAAACTATACGAGAGAAAAATGAGCTGACCTAAATTTGAGATAAAATATGAGTGGCATATGGCACACACCCAGAAATTTTGAACTTGAATTCATTGGTTTGAGATAGCTACCTGAGAGCTTGACTTGATGGAGTTCGTTTGTTTAACGCAGGGTCATCCAACATCTGCAGAGCTCTGAGCATGCCCCACAACAAGCTAGTTTCAACTTCGTCGAGACTAGATACTTCACAAGGATCTTTGACCTCAGCTGCGGTTTCCAAGGGGTATTCCGGATCCAGGCGCAGAAGAATAAAATCTATAGTTCCCGCATTTGCAAGAACTTTGCCTGTAATCATTGGCGACAAAATGTTATTGCCTCAATGGTACAAAACAATTTATTCAAGTTACTCATGTTCCCTTTTTCACAGTATTACAATTGTGTACGATTTCGTATAAAAGCGACCTTACGTTCAAAGCATAGTTAAGAAATGGGTGACAGGATGTCCTAGTGTGCATAAGTATTGGAAGCATAAAACAAGAGGGCAACTACATTTCTGCACCCTTGTAGAAACGGAATTGTACAGAGGACTATAAATAGAGGGAGTGCAAGTGTGTGTATGTAAAACTATCAATGCAATATCCTTCTTGGAATGGTAAAGAACTACAAATCAGATATGTTCAATGCTGATGAAACCGGACTATTTTTCAAATGCTCGCCAGAGAAAATATTGACGTTTAAGGGTAAACATTCTGAAAATTCTGTTAGTGTTCGTTGGCCTTCGCACAACGCGCATGCGTCAATTATGGGCACAGCAAGCTGCTGTTTTACGCTCACTACAGGGCCTTTTCTCTCCGAATACGGTGCAAAGCGACGCAGCGCCCGGGCGTGCCTACCCTGAGTGGCCACCGTGGGAAAACGAAAACAATATAAGATCGTTGATTATAATGCAAGATATACAGGAGGCAGTCATGCAACCCCAATGCACGTTTCATTGCAGCTAAATATAACAGTTCGTAACTCGGAAATGTTGCGTCCTTGGCCTCTTAATATCGAGTTTCCCCAATGGAATGTTTCGTAAGTCGTAAAGCCCAAAAATATCAGTTTTCGACGTTCTATTACATTTTCGGAGCACAAAGCTGTGTAATGACGCGCGAATTTTAGAGACAAAAACTCTTATTGTAGCGCCCTGGTAACGAAAAAGTGGGTATATGGAGTTGCTTAATATAGTAAAAAGAACACGTGGTGTAGCCAGAATACTGCAGGAGTAAGATGTTATTGCAGATTACACTGTACACTAATAAGCCAGGAGCTACTGCACTGACCCACACCCTACACACGAGGATTTTAGTTCGTCTGACAAACATTTCTCTGTGTCGGTCCCTCTCAGTCAGTTTGTCTGTTAGTCTGTCTGTCAGTCTGTTTGTCAGTCTGCCTGCCAGTCTGGTAGCCTATCTGTCAGTCTGTCAGTCAGACTGTCTGTCAGTCTGTTTGTCAGTCTGTCTGTGTCTGTCAGTCTGTCTGTGTTTGTCAGTCTGTCTGTGTCTGTCAGTCTGTCTGTGTCTGTCAGTATATCTGTGTCTGTCTGTCTGTCTTTCAGTCTGTCAGTCTGGTAGTCTGTCTGTCTGTCCCTCAGTCTGTCTGTCAGTCTGTCTGTCAGTGTGTCTGTCTGTCAGTAAGTCTGTCTGTCTGTCTATCTGTCTGTCTATCAGTCTGTCTGTCAGTCTGTATGTCTGTCAGTCTGTCTGTTTGTCAGTCTATCAGTCTGTCTGTCAGTCTGTTTCTCAGACTATCTATCAGTCTGTTTCTCAGACTATCTGTCAGTCTGTCAGTCTGTCTGCCTGTCAGTCAGTCTGTCAGTCTGTCAGTATCAATCTGTGAGTCTGTGAGTCTGTCAGTCTGTCAGTCTGTCAGTCTGTCAGTCTGTCAGTCTGTCAGTCTGTCAGTCTGTCAATCAGTCTGTCAGTCTGTCAGTCTGTGTGTGTCTGTCACCGAGCCGGCGCGTGCGGACGTACTGCAGTGCACGGAGAGCGAGGAGAGCAGCAGCGCGAGGTCGACCAGCGCCGTGTACAGCTCCGGGAGGGCGAACTCGAGGAAGTGGCCGACGGTGGCGGTGAGGCCGCTGCGCTCCATCGCCGCGCGCAGCACGCGCAGCGGCACCGCGTTGTCGCCGGGGCGCGGCTGGCGCGTCAGCAGGCAGTGCACGGCGTGCACGGCGCGCAGGCGCAGCTCCAGGTCCTCCAGGGTGGCGATGAGGTAGCCTGCGCACCGGCCTCCAATCATTCGCCGCTCCGTTCACAAATTAGTGATTGCTAGTGGTTTCCGCCGCGTCAAGGTGCAGGAGAAAGCCGTTAGTCCATCCCGTAAGTGTAGTGCAATTTTTTGCTCGGTAAGAAGCCGTGATCTTGCCCCGTTGGATTGCGAGATCCGGCCCCGATCTATTGGCTGCTAGGGATTCCCCAACCAAGTATCTCCCACCAGCGGGACACCGCCCCATCCGGGACAAGCCCTGAAGTCCCCACACGTGTGGTAGCGTAGTGCACGTAAGTGTAAGTGGGTGTGAGGGTATGAAATGGGAAGAAAAGATCTCGGTCCCTGGCCCGTTTGTTAGGGAACTGCTACGGCATTCGCCTGGTATTGATAGGAGAAACTACGGAAAATTACCGTCCAGACCAGCCGGCCGCTAGAATTCTCCAGTCAGCCACTGAATTCAACCTAGCTGACAAGCCAGAGACGAAAATCCTGCCACCGTCGGGATTCGAACCTAAATCATCCCAGTCAGAGGCACTTCAGCAACATCAGTTGATGACCTGAGACACCTCTCCAGATATACATTAAGAAATATTGTTAGAACAAGAATAAGATAGAGTACCCACTTATGAGAATGAAGCCGGCCATTAGGTCTATTCCTTGAAGGTGAAGCAGAAGAGATAAGAAACTCTTACTATATTTTTTCACTTATTTCCTTAAAATTTTATTCTCACAGTAACAAAAACTAGCAATTCTAATTAGGTAAAGCTTAATTTATATTAATATTTAAATGTGTGAAAGTTCACATTTTAGGTTTGTAACTTTCCTTTAGGTCTCAATACTTAAAGTGAAGAGATCTATTGTTTAAAATAATTCAGTCAAACAGGGACATTAATTTCGATATTTTCTTCATATCTGACTTTTTATGTCAAATGAAATGAATCTATGCGTACTTTTAGTTTATTATTTATATCTGTACGTTCTGACAATCTACATTATTGATATTTGGGAATTTGCTTGATGTACTGAAAACCAACGATTTCATTGCACGTGACGCGAGCGACTTCATAGAGCGATTGCTACATCAGTATGTTCTTGGTTTTCGTCATGAATTCCAGGCGAAGACTGATCGCTTCTTTTCCACCTTTTCTTTTGTAAGTTTGTGACGAAGCACCTCCCCCCCCTACAATAGAGCCACAGGCTTAGCTCGTTATTTCCTTCTCAAATCTTTCCGCATTGCTATCTGTAGGATCGAGTGAAGGGAATAGTTATGGTATAATCCCCTCAAAGACCTAATCAAATTTCGATCAAGCATCGAAATTCTGCGGTGTAGTGACAAGCTCTGTGAATCCCAAAAATATGATTCTAATTCCGAAATATACCTGTGTTTCCAGGTGTATTATTCGTTAAAACTATTAAAAAATAAAGCAAATTTTTAAGATATCTTTACATTCCACCATATAACGAGTTTCGGCGGATAGGTAGGCAACCCCGCAATACCAAACCGAAAGGTGTGTTGCCTAAACGTATTTGACTAGGAGCAGCAAAATTGTGTTTAGAGTGAAAAATCTTGTTAAAATTATTCATGTCAAAAGATTAAGTGTGCCCCATTTAAGTTAAAAACATTAGAGAAATTCGAAAACTTCAATGAAAGTAATTGTACAACCCCTAATGGCAAGATGTTCGAAGACATAAATAGGATGTAATAGAAAATTGTGACTCAATATTAATATTACAAAAATGTATATAATAACTTAATATAATGATATAATAGTAATACGAAGACATTAAGAAATGGATTAATAATATAAGTAGCAAAATATTTGTTTTGGATCGGGTTTTAGATTACCTAAAGAATTAAACAGCTCCTCCACTTCATCCATCGGCGAGAGGCCTTCAGTTGGCTCAAGCATAAGCGGCGGGCGGCAACTCAACTCAAGCATATTGCGAAGGATATCTCTGTACTCAGGTTGCTCTGACTCTTTGCCAAGGAATTCAATTGCGTATATGAAGTAACGCAAATCTCGTAACAACTGTGAAGCATTAAGGATTTTTATCTTCCTGTATGTGGCATTTTGCGTTGTACATTAAATAAATGCATTTCTATTTAATATGCTATCCGAAAAAGTTGGCACCGTAGCATACGATAGTTACTGTGCTTTACAACCAGACTGTAGTACGATGGACTACAGCTGCCAAAGTTTTCATAAAATGTATTTTAAAAAGTAAATGATAATCCGTTAATGTGAAATTACAATCAGAGCGAACACTGATATAAGTGAACATTGAAATTAAAATCAGACAAATTGATCGCTGATTTTAGTACTTAGTTGCTTCATTCGACACTCACGGAAAAATGAGCAACAAATGAACCAAAGAAATCAAGGACAGCTTCTCAGAATTACCCGTGATTTACTATTTTTGGAAAATTAGTAATTTGGATATGTGGTGCTTTGGATTTTTTAACGCACTTAAATTGTATAATAGATAAATATTCATTGGAATACTTAAAGGTACAATAGTGATAAGTTTCAGTTTTTGAAAGATTTCATTTTATATGGTACCTGTTAATTTATTAAAATAAGTGATAAACACTATTGTAATGCAATAATATATTAGATATTAGGATTTAACTCTCGGTGGTTAATTTCTATGAAATTCGCGAAATACAATATACTTCAAACGAACATTATTACATTAAAACACATCACAACTGGAACACCCCATTTTATCTCTGACTCAGATAAGAGTTTATAATTACTGTTTACTCTCTGAGAGCGCTCATTAAGGAATTCCTTTATCCAAGAAATAATTCAATGATACACGCATCTTGCAGCAAATTTCGTGAGAAGATTAACATGCGGAACTCAACTATTCAACAAAACATTACTTCTCACTCAAAATATAAGTATAATTGAAAAATAAGAAATCGCATTACCTTTTGTAGGGAATAACGTATCAAGAAACCTTGTAGAACTCTGTTTTTGGAGTGTGGAGAGAATACTAATACTAATAGTAATACTAATAATAATAATAATAATAATAATAATAATAATAATAATAATAATAATAATAATTTTTATAAAACATTCAAACACCTCCACCTCTATCGAAGAGGAAGGAAAATCAAAGGAAAACGTTCCTTTGATATGATAATTATTTTTAAGCATTTGAAAAAGTATTGATAATTTTCCTTTTCACTGATAAATGACTACAGTAACAAGGATACCACACCATCTTGTGATACTCGAAGATATTCACTTAAGAGACGGGAGTGTCTGTGAATCATTGTGGTAGCTATGTTATCCGCGAATAAGGCGCAGGCTTTCCTGATTAGATAGCTCTGGTCGTATAAACATGGGGCGCAAGGAATATCACCCTTTTCTTCGTCGTAATGACATTCACATACATCACCCAGAGATAAGTTTTCTTCCAACTGTAAATATCAAAATAATTAATTCAGAAGAATTTTAAACAATAGTAAAGCGTAAACATGAATTTTCTTACTTCAGTAGACATTGTTATGGTTTGAAGAAAATCCTGAAGAATTCTGAACAAATATTACAATTTTTATTAAAAAAGCATAGTGTAGCTTCCAATGAAGCGAGGACCTTACTGTTTTAGCGTATAAAACAAAAGCACATCTGTGTTATATCGAAAATTGAGACTGAAAATCGATAATCGAAAATAGTTATTTATGATGTATCGTATGATGTTTGGATATGAATATCGTACAACAAAGTCTACTTTATGGAAATTCCAATGTATTATAATGTTCATTTAAATTTAATTATTCTTCTTAGTAATTGACTAATGTGGATAGTAGTTAACTAGGAGACCACAGATTATCGGAACATTTGGGTGAACACTGTTTCATTTCACTTCGAAATTGATCTTTATTTTTAGTTATAAAGCGACGAGAAACATAATTCACTTGACTGGAGTTGCAGCATCGCCGAAAAACAATAATACAGTCAACGTACTACGTATAAGGTCTCGCTCTCTATTCCCCCACTGATGGAAATAAAATACCGTCTTCATATTGTGGATAAAAACAAATACTCAATTCACTTCTCCTCGTAGTACGCCACGCACTGTTTCTGACTTAAAATAAATAAAATAAATTAAAAAAATAGTAATAGTCCATTAGTATGTTTCAGTTTTTAAATTTTGATTTAAGATAACCAAAATGTATAAAATATTTTTAATTTAAGATTATTTTGTTTCCATTCCAAACAATGGTTCTTTCAGTTTTTTTAAAAAATAGTCATTTCATTTGGGAATAAATGATACGTAATGTGGCTGAACATAATAATTAAAATTTCGAATGCAAATGTTTTCTCCAATAATCCATATAAAATGGCATCTATACATTCATATCAAGCAAACATTTGGAATAAAACTGAATTTAAAATGAGATTTATAATCAGGCGATCAAAGTAATTCATTTGACTGGAGTTACAGCATCGTCTCAAAATAATAGTACAGTCAACGTTCGTACAAGGTCTCGATTCGTGGATATTTCTATTCGCTCACTGGCCGAAATGAAATACCTTCATCAGTTGTGGACAAAAACATAAATTTCTCATTCACTGATCTATCACGGACCCAAGACTAGTATAATGGCGTCGAATACATAACATAAAACGTTTAAGGCGAGTTGACACTTCGTTACGCGTACCCGATTTCTTAACGAAGCTCCGCCTCGCGATTAACATGAAACATTTCGACGAACATTTTTACGTCACACTTGACACTCCCCTACACGTGTTGTTCACAATGAGGCTTCGGCCTTCGGCCTACCAAATTAGCATGAAACATTCTTGAGCCTGTACAACGCATTTTGAGCCTAAACAATTTTTTAATGAATTAAAATTCATTATCATTTTGAGATCGAAATTCAAGTTCAGATCGACGATTAAAAAACGATTACAACACATTGAGGGTACTTCATTTCGGACAATGAGTAAATAGAAATACCACAACGTATCATCTCTTTGTTCCGTTCTCGCCGCGTTGTGGTTAAAAATTCTATCATTTACCGATGGCGGTGTTTGAGTATTACATATACATTTTCATGTGCCAAATGATAAACGGTAAAATATACTTAAGAAAATTAGCAAGTACATATAAATACAAATATAAAAGTTAAGGTTAATAAAAGGTTTAGACTTAACAATTTACAAAGACAAGACTTAACAATTTAGTAGTAAAACATTTGAAGGAAATTAAATTTTTGCTTCTAGATAGGCATTTCAAGAAAAAATAAAATGGTTTTACCCAACAAACACTTAAAAATTATAAACATAACGATGTGACAAAAATGCTGCTATGATGTGAGAAAAGAACTATCCATCAACTCACTAATAATAATTAAAATCCAGTACTAATTTATGCTAATTAAAATCAAAAAGTTCTATCTGACAACTTTACATACATTTAATTTAATTTTCCACCTTTTCTCGTTCTTTTCTAGTTTTACTTCTATCTCTTAATGTTCGTTTCCCCTCCTCTTCCCCTCATCTGAAAGGCAATGTTCGGTTAAAAGATGGTCTTTTGCAATAGTTGGGATATCTCAAACATCGTTCCAAAAGATTCTTAAAGTTGTTGAGGAAAAGAGTGGAATATCAAAGAGTATTTTCTTTTGATTGTCAAAAGAATCTTTCTCTTCGTAAAGTCGCAGAACACGTGGTATATTATAATAGACAATACCTTCTATACAATTTTACCATTTGCTAAGGAACTTCAAAGGACTTACAAACAAAAGAAAATACATTAATTTACACTTTGATGAAGCTTGGTGGTTTGTAAGATTCAAATGAAATTGCCTCTGGCGTTTATTTCAGACTAAAAATACTGTGTTCAATTAAACTGTTACTACAGTTTGCCTCTTTGCCGATGCATGTAAGAGGCAAAATATGTGGCTGTAGAACGATATTCCAATAAATATAAGAAAACTATGGTTTACTTTTCCAGATAAAGGACATTCACTTATGCCCCCAACGTAGGGTATTTCGGAGGATATAAAAAATCGTCAGAAAACCAGAGGATATAATAAGAATAGAACCACAACAACATTTTAATATGTTGGATATGTTTGGTACAGTTATATAACTACATTTTTTTCGATTGGAAGAAGCTAACTTAAGAAATTCTTAATCCATATGGATCATGGCATTTGAAGTTTTCTACAGCAAAGAAATTCATATTGCCAAGACAACAGGCCCAAGACAACATACACCAGAGGGTATATATCCCCCTGGAGGACATACACTGCAAAATGAGTTGGATTACTATTGGGACAGCAAAAGGTAGAGGTAATTAGAAGAAGTAAAGTATGACATTCGCAACCAACTCGCATTGACCTTGGAATTCTACCTAAACCAGCCAATGTACGAGATGTTACAAACTTTTAAAGAATTGTTATGGAAAATAATGCCGTTCTCTGCCATAACTTGCATTCTATCAAAATGAATCTAATCTATTCTCATTCGAATTCTCTCATTTCTTGATCTAGTAGATGATAAACCAATGAGTAATATTGTCATGTAATAATAAATGATTATGGCCGATGTATTAAAATGACTGACTCTTTTAATTCTCTTATATTTCTAACTAAATTCACCAATGAAAATGCTATAGAAATTACATAATATTTTAATTCACTTTCCATTAGATATTTAAAAATAAAATTCGTTTTCTAATATAAGATATACCAAAATGAAGGGAACCACAATGATATGGGAAAAACCTTGATGGCCAACATGTGAATTACATTTCATTTGGTACAGTACCTATAAATCACTACTATTTACATTGATTCACTTATTCCAGCGCGTAGGAAGTGTGTGGATGGCTTCTGTGTTAAAATTCCTGGTTTGTTGACGGATTCATTGTTTCAGGGTGGCTCGCA